GAGGAAAATGCCACTATCTATCTGATAGGTAGTTATACATAGACTCATAAAAATCCATTAGGTCAATAGACACTGTGGCCTTTAGGGCACTAAAGAAGAGTCACTGCCATGGAAAAGAAGGGAACTAAGAAAAGTATACCTATGGGAACTGGAGCCACAGGGCCTGCCTGTGCTCATGACCTGATCAGAATAACAGAGCCGAGGTCCTGCTCCCCTAAATATACACTCTAGGAAAACCTATGGGGCAGTGCTACTCCGTCACATGGGGTGGCTCTCAGACAAAAAGGACTCCACAGAAACAAATTACTAGCTACAACAATAGCGAAATAAATTACGTAATAGGATCTAGTAACTGTGCACAGGAGAATGGCAAATGACTGACTTCATTTTTCTGTGGGGGATAATGAAAACATTCTGGAATCCTGGGTTACGGTGACAAAACTTTGTGGATATACTAAAAATCGTTGAATTGTTCACTTAAAAACTAAAAATATTGATGTAATTTGAAGCAGTTATGTTCTTCTAACTAAAGTATAAACTCACAAAGGCAAATTTATTCTTGCGTCCTGAGCCAAGAGCAACTCTCTCAATATCAAAATCCCATACCCACTGCTACCGACTGGACTCGGACTCATAGAGGCCCCACGGGTCAGAATAAAACTGCTCCATAGGATTTCTAAGATTACCCTAAAAGGAATAGATGGCTTCTTTTTTCTCCTGCACAGCAGCTGGTGGGTCGGAGCCAGCAACCTTATGGTTAGCGGTTCAATGCTTAGCTCAATGTACCCGCAGGGATCCTTTCCTGGAGTCCATATGGCCAATAAAAATGTCTACTAATACTAGTGGAGATGTATTCTCATAAGTTGAAACTGTATAAGCCTGATTCTAGACACATAGTATTAATTGTTGAGATGTCTGTGGAAGCCCAATAAATAATATTTCTCTTCCTCAACTAGTTTCTGAACAAATTGAAAAACAAAGAAAAGGCATGGCATTGAAAACTATTACTTGATTACTGTATGAGGCTAAGTTGGAGGTTACAGTTTAATGGGCAAGTCAGTGAACATGAAAAGTAGATTCCAGAAGATGATTTTACCTGCCAAGGTAAGATTATATATTTACTTCAAACCATAGGGATTTGAAGTAAAGGAGACTGTGTGCTTTACGGGCAGGCGACTGTCATAAAATAATTACAGGAATGAGGTATGGATGGTCATTTTATGCTCCCCACATGTTATATTGAGCTGGAGAAGGCAATCGGTATCAGAGGCCTGGAAAGAGAGGAGAGCGAAGGGAGCACTATGGGTAGAGTGCCAGAGAGAGTAACAAATATCTGAAACTTCAAGACCTTTGCCTAAATCTCTCTTCATTAGCAAAATATGGGAAGTCAGGGACTAAGATTGGCAGGAAACTAGAGAAAAAGCTCAAACATTCCCTAATTATAAATGGCCAGTTTAAAAAATTATAGGAAGAGGGTACCAAAAACTTTTTGTAAAATGGAATAAAAAGATAAGGCAAAATGTCCACATTTTTTTTACCTTTGGCTTCATGAAAATTCACTGTTTAGACGTCCAGCTGCAAGAAGCACATTAAATTTGAGGTCCCTTTGTATCTTCCTCTGTGTTTCCATTGAGACCACACTTTCTGCAGCTGCCCCAGCCTGGTGCCTGCACACGGCAGAGGTATTAATACATCTCATTGCTGGAAAACACAAACTTTCCGAAGGGGGGTTCAGAATTTCTAGACCAGCTGGCTGCCTCTTTCCTGGAGTGGTGCAGTAGTCCGGCATTCCTTCTGCTAGCCCTCCTGCCTGCTGCCTCCTCAGAGTTGCCAGACTTGGAGCTTAGTTTGAAGGTGGTCCCTGACTTTTCTGCCCCGGTCCTTTACCCTTCCCAAGCATTTCCACCAAAAATCATTTGCATTTCCAGTCATAAATACAATGTTGCAGCATATAATTTGCTGATGCTATCATTATTATGCTAACCCAAAAAGATATATACAAATTGAATTTATAAAGCTACTAATAATGCGATAATGATAGAAACTAAAAATATATATATTAAGGTCTTACACTTATGACACAACAATTTATGAAGGAGGCATTGGAACTAAGCCCTACCAATCATAAGTTGGGTTTTTTTTTTAAAGAAAGGAAATAATAAAAAAATAACCTAGGAATCAATTAAATGGGAAATGAAAATTAAACTATAAATAACAATAAACCCAATTCCAGTTTGTTGAAAGAGCAATGCAATTCATAAAACCACCACTAGACTTATCAAGAAAAGCAGTGAAACAAATGACCAGATTCCGGAATAAAAGATGAGCAACATCATAGAACCTCCTGATGTTAAAAGATGATTAAACAAATATTACAGAAGACTTTATCTAATATTTGAAAATCTTTTAAATAAGAAAAACATTTAACCATTTTATTGGGGGCTCATACAGCTCTTATCACAATCCATACATGCATCAATTGTGTAAAGCACACTTGTACATTCGTTGCCCTCATCATTCTCAAAACATTTGCTCTCCACATAAGCCACTGGCATCGGCGCCTCATTTCCCCCCTCTCTCCCTGCTGCCCCCTCCTTCATGAACCCTTGATAATTTATAAACTATTGTTTTGTCATATCTTACACTGTCTGATGTCTCCCTTCACCCACTTTTCTGTTGTCCATCCCCCAGGGAGGAGGTTATATGTAGATCCTTGTAATCAGTTTTCCCTTTCCACCCAACCCTCCCTCCACCCTTCTGGTATTGCCAACAAAAAAATGACTCAAGAATAAAAAATATTAATCTCTTTATGTTTACTAATGAATATACATTTATAATTTGAAATGTTCTCACGAAAAGCTCCAGGACCATAGAGTTTCACCAGTAGATTTTATCAACTATTTAATGAAAAAATGTTATCAATCTAACATTCTTTCAGAAAATAAAGAGATACTTTTCACGAAATTGTCTGAGTCTAAGGACAATTCTGGTACTCAAAACAGAAATACACTTAAAAAATTTAAATTACATGCCAATATCTCATAATGTAATTTTAACAAATAAAACCTAAGCATATTTGTTGGATGTCTGTGGTTTGGTGACAATGGTTTTGAAGATGATTCCATGATTATTTCTTAAATAAACTGAAATTTATGATTTTTCAGAATCATGTTACAAGATAAACATATTAAACTTAGATGCCAAACTGTGCAAGTACATCCAATGTGATTTCTCTGAATATGGTAGATTAACTCAATGATATTATATATGCAAATATGATCAAACGTGAGAATCTGTGTAAAAATCCAGTGAAGATATATCATTTTAAGTTCTTTTACTTTTTAATTTCTATGAAACCCTGTCTTTCTTCAGTGATTACAATCTTTTTAATACATTTTAAGTTTTACCAAGTTAAAAATAAGTTCAATGTATGGGGTTTTTTTTGAGAGAATATTTGAACAAGTGTTTCCAATGTATTATGCTTCGTCATGTACCTTCATTCATCTTCAAGGGTAATCACAGCTCATTCCATATGTATTAAACGCATAGCCCAAAAGGGAGCAATAAGCTGAATAATAATGAGAAATGCTCAATCCTCCAGGAAACCTGTATGACAATTTTCTCAAGCCATCTCACAAAATAAGAATTTGAAATGTAAAGAAAAACAAAATGCAATAACATAATGGCTGTAACCTGGGTTCAAAGACTGAAACAATTGTGAGAATGTCGCAGGGAAGGGCCTGGGCTCATTGTGTTGAACATCGGGTCTCTATGAGTCAGAACCAGCGCCAAGGCAGCCAACAACAACCCCATTGTTCAACTGTAAAGATCGCTAGTCGGCCTTAAGTTTTAAAAGATACTTTGCAGTATATGGAATTCAAAGTTGACAATTGCCTTTTTTTCCTTCTTCTTCAGTTAGCCACCCTGCCATTCTTTATTTTGTTAGTCTACATATAATATATTTTCTCCCTCTGGTATTTTCTCTTTTCTACAATTGTATTATCTTTGTCATTTCTGAGTCTGTCTCTATTAACTTCTCATTATCTTATATTTTATGTTATATGTTGCTACTTCTTTGAATATCTAGCAATTCCTGACTATGCACTAGATATTGTGAATGTCATAGGTTGACTTGGTTTTGTCCCCCTCATTTAAAGAGTGTTGGTATTTGTTTTGTCAGGTAATTACATTTCTGGTGAATCTATGCTTTCCTTTCATGGATTGTTTTATAGTTTCATTGAGCATATTAGAATGGCATTTTTCTCAAGGGCTACTTTAATCTTACTAGAAAGGCGTCAGAAGCCCCGGTAGCGTAGCGAGTTAAACAGTGGACTGCTGAGCTGCTCCACAGGAGAAAGATGAGACCTTGTGTTCCCACACAAAATTTACAGCCTAGGGAACACTAACAGACAATCTACCCTGTCCTAAAGGGTCACTGGGTCAGACTAGATGGGGCTTCTGTGAGTTTGTTTTATAACTGTGTCCCCTCTCTGAGGTCTTTACCTTGGATATTCAATAATGCTTCATTACTCTGGCTTATGCGGTTCCATACATCTTCCAGTCCCATTGAGCCATGGGAATTGTTTTTGTTTAGAGCTTCTTGGTAATTGTCCTTTGCCCAGGCTCATGAAATTTTACCCTGTTAATAAAGAAATTACTACTCATCAGAGACTCAAGAGGAACCCATGAAGTTTTCTTGAGCTCTTTTTCTGTGTAATTCTCACTTCTAACTCTCTCTGCTTTGTAAATTCTGATCATCTCAGTCTCTCTGAATTTAAATCTGTATGTCCGTAACTCAGGACTACCAGTCTGCTTGGATTTTTCTTCCCTGTATTGCAGTCTGAAACATACCCCAGGCAGAAAACTGAAGCATAGTTCCTAACTTATATATCAATCTTCTACTTGGAATCACAATCACTTGTTTTTCAATGTCCCCAAACAGTTATTTTCTGTATTTCTCCAGTGTCACAATTGTTTATCACAGATAATAATACCCTCTTATACTTACCTGCCAGGGGAGATACCACGATCACGAAGGTGGTTTTCCCAAGACGAGGTTTATCCATTGCACTGCGGATGTGCTGACCCTGCCATTTCCCCAAATGTGGGAAACTTGACTGAATAATTTGTGGTAGTGGGGGACTGCATTTGCGCTCTCCCCTGAGATTAAAAAAAAGAAGAAGAAAATAAAAATAATAATAATACTGTCTTGTGGCCGGATGAAAAACCTATGGAAGGATTGCATGCAGAGAGCAGTGAGATACCTCGTGTCATATGTTTCTTCCCTTAGGGACGGACACACTCATACAGATATTGACACAAGTAACAGGGACGACTAAAATAAATGTGAACTGTGTTTAAAGACAATACTTCTGAAAATACATTTGCCATCCCCTGTGTTCTCTTGTTCTCCAATCGCCTATATATGACAAGCTTATCAGTCTACTCAGACCTACACAGGTGTCTAAGTTATTCTCTTCTTTAAAATGTAGAAAAAGCTTTCCATCCATCCCAAGAAAGTAATAGGCACTTAGAGGGGCTGTCCTCGGTTTTAGCAGTCTGTCGTACAACCCAGTGCTGTTAAAGACGTCTGACTTCCCCTGAAGGTCAGCGCAGCACTCCCACCTTGCAACAGTGTCAGCAGATGAGTGGTGAAGATCGCTAAGAACCCCTGGTGGGGACTGAGCATGATAGTGGGACAGGAGGAAAGTCAAGGGAAATAGAGGAAAGAGCTGGGAGGCAAAGGGCATTTATAGAGGTCTAGATAAAGACATGTACATATGCAAATATATTTATATATGAAGATGGGGAAATAGATCTATGAGCCTATATTTATAGGTTTAGTATTAAGATAGCAGAGGGACATTGGGCCTCTACTCAAGTACTCCCTCAATGCAAGAATAGTTTCTTCTATTAAATTGGCATTCTATGATGCTCACCTTCCCAACACAACCGCTGAAGACAAAGCGGGTGAATAAGCAAATGTAGTGAAGAAAGCTGATGGTGCCCGGCTATCAAAAAGTATAGCATCTGGGTCTTAAAGGCTTGAAGGTAATCAAGCGGTGATCTAGCTCAGAAGCAACAAAGCCCACATGGAAGAAGCACACCAACCTATGTGTGTATAAGGCATCATCAGAACAAAAAAACATCATAGTGAATGATGGGAGGAGTGTGGAGTGGAAACCCAAAGCCCATTTGTAGGCCACTGGAGATCCCCTTGCAGAGGGGTCTCTGGGAGGAGACGAGCCAGTCAGGGTGCGATGTAGCAACGATGAAAAATACAACTTTCCTCTAGTTCCTAAATGTTTCCTCCCTGCTCCCACTATCATGACACGAATTCGACCTTGCAAGTCTGGCTAGACCAGAGGATGTACACTGGTACAGATAGGAACTGGAAACACAGGGAATCCAGGGCGGATGATCCCTTAAGGACCAGTGGTGTCAGTGGCAATACTGGGAGGGTAGAGGGAGAATGGGTTGGAAAGAGGGACCTATAATAAGGAACTATATGTGACCCTCTCCCTGGGGGACAGACAACAGAAAAGTGGGTGAAGGGAGACGTTAGACAGGGCAAGATATGACAAAATAATAATTATAAATTATCAAGGGCTCATGAGGGAGGGGCGAGCGGGGAGGAAGGGGAAAAATAAGGACCTAATGCCAAGGGTTTAAGTGGAGAGGAAATGTTTTGAGAATGATGAGGGCAATGAATGTACAAATGTGCTTTACACAATTGATGTATGTATGGATTGTAATAAGAGTTGTATGAGCCCCTAATAAAATGATTAAAAAAATATTTCTTGACTATGTGCCTAAAGTGAACTACTGCAATGTGAACCATAAAAGAGAGCCTATTTTCCCCCAAACTTTATATCAAATAAATTAAATGCATAAAATTTTCTAATTAAAAAAAAGGAAGCATTTCAAGTTCCTGAGGAGTAAATCTCCAAACCATCTGCTAAATCAAGAATGAGTGAAGTCAACACAGAGTGAACAACTGGATTCTCATCTGTCACATTTTTCATTGGAATGTAATGAAGTAGTTGTTCATTATTGCGTGATCATACATATGTCCACATACGTTTTCTAGAGGATGCAAACTTCCTCACTGAAATGAGGACACTTCACTTGTAGATGGCCCTTCATACCTGACGATGATGATGTGTCAGGGTTATGGCACCACCACTGTAAATCAGTTGTTTTAATTAATAGCATTTTTAAAACATTTATTCAAAATCTCATTGCATATGTTGCCACATTTCTTTGAAAATATTTGCTCTGTTACAAAAAAAAATATTTGCTCTGAGACAACAACCATCATTTATTTCTTGCCTTCAGTTAAGGAGCTTGGCATCCCCACATTTAACAGGTAAATCTGACCAGAGTAGAATTATAGTTGTGTGGGCCCTGGCTCTGGCCTTTCCTTTGAATAGGTGAACAAAACGGTGCCCAGTATGGACGGACGGACTTGAGAGATTGAAAGCTGGCTGAGTCACTGCCACAGGGCGAGTCTCATGCAGACCTAAACCTGGATATCCTTTCTTTCCCTTTCAATTTTAAATATAATCAACGTTGCACAACTATGACCTACAATAGACAATTTTACACCAAGATTAGGCTCCTTGGCGGTGGTCATGGTGGCATTGCTGACAAGTCAATTCCTACTCATGACCAGCCCAAGTGCAGACTAGCACAGCTCTGCGAGGCATTCAAGGCTACGGCCATTCAGAAGCAGATCACCAGGCCTATCTCCCAGGACATCTCCAGGTAAGTCCTAACCACCAACCATCGGGCCATTATTTAAGCACTTAACCACTTCTATCACCCAGAGACTCCCCTTAGAGGTATACTGGGGTACAAAATGAGATAAATGACTTTTTGTTACGGACTGGAAGGCAGAGAGATAAAGAGAGGAAAATATAGAGGCTCTCCTCACTCTCCACCCACTTTATATTTGTTTAAGGATAGGGTTAATCAGAATTAGAGAGAAGTTCTCCAGACAAAATCCTCCAGACAGGATTGTTCTCAGAAGAAATAAATACGTGGAACAGTTCCATCCTTACGTGGCTAGTTTGAGTTTTGCATCCATTCAATTTGGAAATATGAGGTCTGCCCTTTGAATCTGTTTTTAGTCTTGTATATTTCTATTATACTCAGATTCCATAACAGTCACTATTATACTTTCCAAACACATACGTATACATACTCATAAGATGAACTTGATAATAGAAATATGTCCACCTTTGTGAAACTCTCTAGCATTACCTATTAGTCATTTGAAATCAGTAAGTGAAAGTTATATTAAAAATTTCTGAGCTTAGAAGCATGTGAACTATATGACCAATGTAAATAACCTTGCAATTTAACTTAATCTGGCCTGTTGTGATAAAAGAAAAAATGGCATACTCAATCTTTGTATATTAGCCTTAATCTCCTTAATCTCTAACCTTGGGAAAACAGATACAACATTCTGCCAATCTCTGTCTGGAGATAAAACATCATACTGGCCTTTACCATGTGCAACCAAGGTGAAACTTCACATACAAACCCTGCATTTCTCCTCACTCACTGATAGACGGCAGAGACAGAATATCATGTTCATTGCTCTGACACTCTCCAAAGAGAAGCCCTGCCAGAAGCTGCAGCTAAGGCTGCCCATCACTGCCCACCCCTGACCTTGGACACCAGCTATGAGAGTCCTCTGTCAAATTGCAGTCACAGTGAAGCTTTCCTCCCAAGAACTCTGGTAAAAGTGAAAGCCTGATGCTTATATATTTAGAATCTAATAATTAAATTAATGTTGTAAATATAATTTTAAACTCTTATTTTCTAATTCTAACTATGCATGTAGGTCTTGTGTGCTTTGCCATGACTACCTTTCAGCAAACTAATCAAGTTTCCACATGATGAACCTGAGTTTACTAATTTGTAAGAGTAAAATCCTACACAGTAATTTGCATAAGTCCTCTCCAGCATGGAAGTCAGGACCACCACTCTCCATAGGCCTTGCTCACTTCCACTTGCACCCATTCCTCTGAATTCTAAATTCTTAGGTCTAACCAAAGATTCTAAGCGATTAAAGAAAACATGCTTCTAACTATCAATTTCTTCTAAGCTTACACTCAGCAATTCTAGCTAATGCTCTTCCCTGTTTATAGTAGATTTTATAAATAATTGCCCAATCCACACTCCTTCAGAACAAAAAAAGAAAGGGAGAGCTTAGTTTCCAACCCTTAATTCTGAGCATGATTTCTTTCACGAGGAATTGATTGGTTCCTCCTAATAGCATGGCTAAAGTAAACGATATGAAGTTCTCATTTTCACTTCTAAAGAACATTCTAATATATATGTATATATATTATATATGTATATATATATATACATATATATATATACCCAATATCGATTAATTCCTAATGTGTCATATCTGAAACCAAAAAGGTGGTTAATATTCATATTGGTTCAAATTCATATCTTATAATTCTACAAAATTTCCTGAATAAAGATGTAATCACAAAATATATTAAGTACAACAATGGGGCCTCTGGTGAATTAACGATAATCCACTAAACCCTTTTCTTCTATTTTATTAACTCCAGCACTGCACAGTATGTATGTAACATAGCTGTTCACAAATTTAATTTGTGAGGTTTCACACTGGTTAAATATGGCGATATCAGAGTCACGGATGTGTTGAGGATGCTGAATTACCCAGGTTCTTGATTAAGGCTGCGAATGTATAGACAGCGAGGAAGCTCCCTTTCTGTCACATGTCATTACTCAGTCTGAGTTTCCTTAGTTATCGCAGCAAATCTTAAATTTTATAAATAAAATATAAATTATTATAAACGCAGAGATAGTATTATTATATAGCAGTAAGCAAGTAAGCAGAGACATTAGATCGCAGGAGGGACTTAATTCCCTTGTCAGCTCTATTAGGCTGGGTTGACTAGAGAAAGAAATCCAGTGACACTTACATATGTGTAAGAGAGAGCTTTATATCAAATGTAATTACATATCAAGCAAACATACCAGCCAGTCCAGATCAAGTCCATCAGTCTGACACAAGTCCATAAGTCCCTTTCCAGACTCACACAGCCACACGTAATGATGCAGAATGCAGGAAGTTTACAGGCTGGTGGATGCAGGACTGCATGGATACA